CTGAGATTTTCACACATTTTAATCCGAAATCGAGCTGTCGCCTGAGATTTTCACACATTTGAAATGCAGAAACGAGCTCTCCCTTGAATTTTTTTCTGATTTTGATTGCCAAATCAAGCTCTCGCCTGAGACTTTCCATGAAAACAAGCCAAAAACAAAAAAAATAAACAAAACAAACAAAACAACCTAAATTAATTCTGCATCCAATCTGAAGTCCTTAAAGGGGGGTTATATAAGGGATAATATGGTGGAATATTATAGGGCTTATTAAGGGGGATACTAGTAGCTCATATGAAGCGTCATCTTGTCCCCTTTGCGCAGGCCAAAACCACAAAAGCCTCAGGCACAATCCTTGAAGCCTAAACCCTAAACCCCTAAACCCCTAAACCCTAAACCCTGAACCCTGAACCCTAACCCTTAAAGGCTGAGCCCAGCCCTACAGTGGTGGCTCTTGCGCAAGGAGCAGGTGACCGCTACGCCCTTTCTCGCCCTTGGCCTAGAAATCTTCATAGGTTAAGGGCTCAGGGTACAGGAGGTTCCCGATATCTTGGTTTTGCCAGCGGCCTAAACCCTAAACCCTAAATGAGCCATTGTCTAAACTCTTAGTGTCCCCCTTAATAACCCCTATAATAGTCCCATATATAATCCCCTATATAACCCCCTTTAAGGAGTTTAGACTACAGCTCAAATGCTGCAAACAAAAACACTAAATGCAACAGTTACACTCCCCCAAACTAACATGGAAACCCATATAGGCCCATTTTAGAGGGACTGTAGTCTTTATAGGGCCCCTTTTGGGTTTCCATGTTAGTTTCCAGGAGTGTAGGCTCTTGGGTGGTCTGGCCTGTGATGATCAGCGCAGACAAACGTTCGTGTTGACTTGTTTCTGCGGTGTAAGGACTGCCCATCATTCCCAGATCTCGACTGGGTTTAGGGTTTGGGGTTTAGGGTTTAGGATTCGGGATTTAGAGTTCAGGGTTTCAGGTTTGGGGTTTAGGGTTCAGGGTTGGCATCAGCCATATGCACTCGTACTTGTTGTAGACAAGACTTTTCAGGGGAGTGCTCCGGAATTGATGTCGCACAGCTCAGAGTTTGGACCGGTAGATGCTCGTTCCCTGATTCATAAACCCCCTCCTTTTAAGGGCCTCGATATTAGCATCCCTATTAAGGGGAGGGGGTTTATTAATCAGGGGTCTGGGTTAGTGTTCTTGCCAGAAGTGCTGTCCTGGCTGGTGGTTTCGTTCGGGGAATGAAAGAATGGATCCCTAAACCCTAAACCCCTATAGTAGCACCCACGCTGACCGCATATTCCTGGAGGAGATGGACACCTGCATCGTCTTAAAGCTCCAAGCCTTAAACCTTAGACCCACAATCTTTAAAACCCCTAAACCCTAAAACCTAAACCCTAAGCCCTAAGCCCCAACGCCTAGGACTCTTAAATCTCTGACCCCGTCCGTGACCGAAGCCTCCCCGTCGAGTGAGGGGTGGTTCCCAAAACTCGGGCAATCTCCAGGATCCTCATGGGGCTTCAAAGGACAGGGAGGCTACCAAATCGCACACCCTAAACCTTAAACCTTAGACCCCCAACAGAGCCTAACCCTTGAACCCTAAACTCGAAGCCCTAAGCCCAAACCCCTATATATAGCCTATCATCCCTCTAGTTTCTATCTTCTGTTCCATTATCCCTATATAACCCCAATATGTACCACAATATAAAGCCCCCAAACCCTTAAACCCCTAAATAGTCGTTTCCGTTTTTCCATTATCCCTGTATAGCTCCCTATGTAACCCCTTTAAGGGGTTTCAACAGCAAGCCCCAGGCCAAGCCCGAGACGCCCGAGACAGAGCAGGTCTCTGACCTGGGCTCGGTTCAGGGTTTAAGGTTTACGGTTTAGGCCTCATGAGCTATGGTCCAAACTCCTTCAAAGGGGGTTATATAGGGGATTATCATAGGGGTCATTAAGGGGTATAGGAGTTTAGACTATTTCTCACATGGGCCCTGGACTAAAGCTATCGTGTTTTCCTTAAAGCTCCCCCCCTAAACCCCCGATACCCTCGTAGGTCCCCCCAAACCTAACTTTAGTCTGCAGCTCACGTGGTTCATGGTTTGGGATTTTGGTTTGAGGTTCAGGGGGTTTGGGATTTAGGGTTTAGGGTTGATTATTTGAGTGTAGGATCTATGATTTAGAGTTCAGGGACTGTTTTCAGGTGCATAAGGGCTGAGTGGGGTACATGCAAAATAACAGGGGCCTATGTGAAAATTAATATTTGGACACAGTTACCGGAATCCACGGCCTCAGCAAGTTTAGCCTAGGGCTTCTCAAAACACCGGCTTTTTTGGTGTGCAGAAGGCAGAGCTGAGAGGGTTTCCGTGGGTTCCTACAACAAGGATTCCGGTTGTTGTTGTGATATCCTTATGACTCCGTCTAAACGCATGTAGGAGTTGCATAAAGATCATATAAGGGTTACAGGGAAAGAAAAGATACAAGTGGGGGCCCTATAGAGGATGATTGGCTTAAGGCGCGCGATAGGGGGCTGGTCTGGGTACTGGTTAGCAGGGCATGAAGCTGGCAAAAGCCAGCAGCAATCAATTCATGATGTACGAAATCTTTTGGCTTTGGGGTGCTTTTTAAACCCTAAACCCTAAACCCTAAACCCGGGCACGCGAGGTGTATAGGGCTTTTCAGTCAGCTCGGGTTTACGGGCTTTCGAGGTTCTAGGTGTGAGGTGTTTGAATCAACCTTAAACGTTGGCCAAAGCCCGCTGAAGACCAAGACTCCATGCAGCCGTGCTACTAAGTACCCCAGTAGTATCTTTTTCCCTTACTTGGGGGCTCCTTATTACAGCCGCACATTAGGAAAAGGGTGCCCTTGCTATTAAGAGGTTCTGCGGAACCTAGGATACCTACCTTCTTCTATTTGGTAGCACAACCCTGCGTATGTTCTCGAGCTAGCCCGAAATGGTGTTCACAAGTATAAAGTACAAGGTGACTTTCAGCCAATGACCCCAACCTCAACCTCAGAATGCATCATTACGTGTATAGTCCCCCTCAAGTAGAATCAAGTAGATAGAATACGGGGTATATGGGGATCTTATTATCATATACCCAAAGCCATATTCTATCTACTTAAGGGTGACTATACCTGTGTTTTTTCCCATATTTTTTTGGCAAAGGTCCAACATTCAAGCCCTATATCACACTCTGAGCATAAACTCATTCTCGCGGAATGATCCGGAGAATCTTGTCAGAGATCCTGGCCAGACTTCTCACAAGATGTCCTGGAACAACGCTTAAACAGGCCTTAACGTCCCCAGTGTTGTACCGCCTTCACCCCAAAGCCCTCAACCCTTTAAACCTTACTTGGATCCTGGCCTAAGGCCAGAAATTCCGAACAAGAAGCGCCAGACCCCAGGGCTCTAACCCTAAACCCTAAACCCTACCTAGACCCTCCAATCTAGTACCTTTCTGGTAGTCCTACTAAGAGTCCTAACCCCAAAACCATACCAAACCCAAAAAGGAACTACATTGGAGGGTCTAGGCAGGGGTCTGGATAAGCCGCCAAGGGTCTAACCCTAAACCCTGAGCCCTAAACCCTAAACCCCTAAACCCTTAACCCTAAGCCCTAAACCTAAACCCTAAAACCCTAAACCCTACAACCCTAAAACCCTAAACCCAAAGCCTGCCAGGAAAAGGAGAAGCCAGCCCCGGCAGAGTCGAGTCCCGAGGCATGGGATTTGTGGGGCTGAAGGTTGAAATTTTGGGTGGGTGGTTGTCAAAATTATGGTACCCATTAGGGTAATATTAGGGTTATATTGGGGTTATATGGGGGAGAATGGAAAA